CCGCACCCGCATGTTTATATTATCAGGAAAGATTAGATCCTGACCGATCCCGTCAGCTGACTGACATTAAAATAATCAATAAAATGGCGCCGTTACTCCGTGCGTAAAGGCGCACATTGGCACTCTTAATGAGGAGACACTCATTTCTGCTGCTGCGGGGATCACTGTGTTAAATAAACCCTTCCACATGACACATTTAAAGAGTATGCTTGCCCAGCCAATCATACATTATTTATCAGCGGGATATAAGCATGATGATATAGAGGGCCTATTGTATTGCACACGACACAAGTAGGCTCATTTCACATTTTAGAGCATGCAATACATTTTCCCCTCATTAATGTTTGTCAAAGCAATTTGTAAACTTTGTTTTTAAAGGGTGCGATTTAAATAAAAGTTATTATTAGGCTATTATTTTCACCCGCCCATAACCCATCCGCCATTAATCAGATTGTTAATTTTTATCACCCGATGAACCTGGCGGTTATAACTGCCATCCGCGCATCTCTAGTGTCTACACTACAGGTTCTTGCATCTGGCTCTTTCCAGAACCCCATTGCAGGCGTCTCAGGGCTCTCACAGTCATCCATCAGCAGGGCCACGTGCCGCAAATTGCGCTCAGCTGCCAAACTTTGTGGGCGTGTTAGCGCCGGCGTATGATTAGAGCAAATTCTTTTGAGGATAAGGCGCTAAAACAGGGCAGATTGCGTGAGCTAATTCTGTGCAAATAATGGCGCTATTAGCAGGAGCAATCCATTCTTTGTGGATCTGGCCCATAACGTATGCTAACGTTATATTACACAGTGTTTAATGATACAGTCTATTATCTCCCAATTACTATAATCTTTCCTGCTTATCGCTCAAACAAATGATTAATTTCTAAATTAATATCAGTACTCATTTAAGATACCTTCATCAGTTACCGGAGGCCACTGTCTAACATCATCAATCCAGCTATTCATGATGCTGTCATTGTAGAGAGTCAGTTCACAATGACAGCATCATGAATTGATGACTGACATGTCACCGCAGCAATGGCGCCGCCGCAAGATGGCAGCATACACAAATCGCTCACCGAATTCGTCTATAGAAACTCTCTCATCCATCAGCGTAGGCCCCGCCCATTAAGTGCAGTTGAACTTGCAAACAAAACTTTAACTCGCAATCAAAGAGGACTGATCTGCAAGCAAAACTTTTTAACTTGCAAGCAAAGAGTACTGATTTATATGCAAAATGATCATACGTTTTTACTTACAAACTTGATTTTTGATTGCAGTTCAAGAAATATGCTCTCAAAACAGTTTTATATGATTGCAACAAAAAGACACAAAAATACCTCCATAACTACGTGTGAATTATTAGTATGAACTGTGCTTCAAATGTCATTCCTCACTGAGCTGAAAAAAAAAAAACAGACCCACCAGTTGTTCCAGAGGTGAAGATGTAGAGAGTGGGGGATTTTAAGGAGGTGGTGGCTCTTAACACTGCTGGTACAGGCTGGTCTGAGGCAGCATCGATCTTATCCAACAGAGTGTGCACTTGTGTGCACTCACTCTGGCTCTTCATGGCCCACACCTGAACGCTGTCCTCCAGCAGGCTGGTTAGGATGTCGTCCAGACATTCCACTAAATCTGGGAGATGGGGACAACAAAGCTATATTTCATAAAAATTATACTTTGAATTATATTTAAATTTTTCTATAATTTAGTTTAAATTTAAATTTAAATAAATAAAACAAAAGTTTTGATTATAAGTATGCTGTAACCAAATGTGTTATCTGACTGTGTGCTGTAGAGGCATCAGAGCAGCAATATACTATATGATATAACATAAAAGATGTACTTTTCAAAGGATTGTGAAACTACTAGTAGTGTTTCTTGGTGACTCTGCACAAAGTGACTGGATAGTTTAAGAGTGGAGCTGTAATGGATTTGAGCAAAGATCTTTTTTTATCATTGGCGGGTCATCCACTAATCTATTGAAATCTATTGAAAAGATCAGCAGTTCGATTCCCAGCTCCTCCAGTCTGCATGTCAAAGTATCCTTGAGCAAGATACTGAACCCCAGATTGCTCCCGATGGCTGTTCCATCAGTGTGTGAGTGTGTTAAAAAAAAAATAGTAGCAGGTGGCAACTTGTACGTAGCCTCGGCCACCAGTGTGAGATTGTGTATGTGAATGGGTGAATGAGACTCGAAGTGTAAAAAGTGCTTTGAGTGGTCAGACTAGAAAGGCACTCTACAAGTGCAGGTCCATTTACCATTGAAGTAAAACACCATGGTAACTGAACCACATATTTAGTATTTCAGTAAGTATTTCACTATACAGCACCACCACTCCTGACTAGTACCCTGGAAATCCAGAGCTCTCACAAGAGCATAATTTGAATTTGCTCATCGAGTCACTCTGTCAATCAGTAATGGTGCTCATTACCCATGCCGTTGGAAAGGCACCAATCACATCGGTGTATCTGATATAGACGGGCCAGAGGCGAGCTAAACAGATGACGACAGCGCTGCAACGACGAAGTCTGGAATCAGTCAGTAAACACTGCAAGATGGCTACGGATGAACACCAGTTGTTTGAAACGGCTTTGGCCGCTACAGTGAACGAGTTAGACTTGGCTTTTTCTCTAAAAGAGGAACAGAAGACGGCGCTTGAATCTTTCCTTTGCAAGGACGTTTTTGCTATTTTGCCATTTGGATATGGCAAGAGTCTAATCTACCAGTTAGCTCCGCTGGTAGCGCTCTGGATATGTCACCCCGTGTATTGTTCTGATTGGTTGTAGTGTTATCCAATTACATGCAGTGATATTTTCAAATGCATGCTTGGTGCCGCCTCTCGAGTTGGGCCATTTGCATTACTCATAGCCAGACCCTAAATCCTTCTAGATTTGGGTCTGGATTTCCAGGCTATCTGACTAGGGCTTTGTGTACAATACTTTGTGATTATGGATATCTTGATTCAAGGATTCATCAACAAGTTCACTGATGCAACACTAAGTAAACATACAACACTCATAAAGAAATAACACAGTAGTGTAACACTCTGCTTCGTTGCTTATTACTTTGAGTCATGTTAGCACTACTGGTCCATCTCTTAGAGTCAATTCTAACCATTACCCAAGTATCTCAAGGCAATTGAATCGAACGCAACTGGACTTAGTTTTGTCTTAGAAGATGTTTCATCTCTTATCCAAGAGGCTTCATCAGTTCATGCTTGTCTGACTAGGCTGGAACTAGTCTGACAAACTGGTGTGGAAAACCCAGGTATTTAACCTCTCAGGAGGCTTTCACAAGGCCAATGATGTCATTGGTGCGTTAGTGTCAACAACGGCCATTGAAGCTCCTGCTGCAACGGTGGTCATTGGAGTCGTTGGAGTCACAGGAGGCCATTTGTGAACGACCATTGTTTTTAGAGGTTAAGCTGTTAAATCTCCTGGGCAAGGACCAATTCTTCTGCATCTTTTTGGGTCAGAATAGGCCTAATTTTCGCAATATTATGCAGATGAAAAAACGCAGTCCATGAGGTTTGTTGTAAATGGGAGTTAAAAGACAAATCTTGATCAAATATTACTCCAAGGTTTCTTACGGTAGTGCTAGAGGGCAGAGCAATGCCATCTAGAGAAACTATGTCATCAGATAAAGAGTCTCTGAGTTGTTTGGGGCCAAGAACCATAACTTCAGTTTTGTCTGAATTTAAAATCAAGAAATTGATTCTCATCCAGGATGTCTTTAAGGCATTTTTGAAGTTTAGTTAATTGATCTGTTTTTTTCAGGCTTTATCGATAAACACAATTGTGTATGATTCGCATAGCAATGGAAATTTACAGAGTGATTTCTAATGATGTTACCTAAGGGAAGTATCAGTGAATAGAATTGATCCGAGCATAGAACTTTGTGGAACTCCAAAACAAACTTTAGTATGTAAAGATGATTCATCGAGAACGTGAATGAACTGAAATCGATTGGATGAATAAGATTTAAACCAGCTTAGTGCAGAACCTTTTAGGCCAATTAAATGTTCCAGTCTCTGCAGTAGAATTTGATGGTCAATAGTGTCAAACTCCGCACTAAGATCTAATAAAACAAGTACAGAGATTAGTCCTTTGTCTGAAGCAATCAGAAGGTCATTTGTAATTTTAACTAGTGCTGTCTCAGTGCTATGATGCACTCTAAATCCTGACTGAAATTCCTCAAATAAATTATTATCATGGAGAAAATCACACAGCTGGTCTGCGACTACTTTCTCAAGGATCTTTGACATAAAGGGAAGATTAGATATTGGTCTATAGTTGGCTAACACCTCTGGATCCAGGGTGGGCTTCTTTTTTAGTAGAGGTTTAATTACAGCTACCTTAAAAGACTGTGGTACATAGCCTGTTAATAAGGATATATTGATCATATCTAATATATGAGTGTTAACTAAAGGTAAGACCTCCTTAAGTAGCCTAGTTGGGATGGGGTCTAAGAGACATGTTGATGACTTGGATGAAGAAATCATTGAGGTCAGTTACTGAAGAGTAATCTGGGAGAAGCAATCTAAACACGTATCAGGTCTTACAGCTGTGAGGGCAAATAGGTACTGTCTGAGGACAAGAGGTCATGAATTTTCCCTCTGATAGTCAGAATTTTGTCATGATAAAGCTCATAAAATCATTACTGCTAAGGGCTAAAGGAATACAAGGCTCAATAGAGCTGTGACTTGCTGTCAGCCTGGCTACAGTGCTGATAAGAAACTTGGGGTTATTCTTATTTTCTTCTATTAATGATGAGTAATAATTCACCTAATGAACATGCTCGTCATGGCAGCAGAAGTGGAATGTAGGGGCGCCTTGTCCAGATCTGGCATTCGAGCCTTCATGAACGGTTTTACTTTCACAGCAACGTCATGACATGATGCTGCTGGAGAGATGGACTGGAGGGGCTCATCACATGAGCAAGAATGAAGTTCAAGCCAGCCAAATCCAGGCCCCTTGTCCTGAGGAAGGGTAGGGTGGAGGACAAGCACACTGATCACTGGGTCGCCCAGATGAATGTGTCTGATGATCAAAGATCCGAAACACCCTTTGACCCTGGGTTCATCACGGATGATGTGTCCAAGCCACACAAGGTGTAGGTGTTTCAAATAACCATTAACTTGATATTACAAATACAAATTAAACTTTAGGTAGCCTACTAGAATAATATAATTGATTGCTTTTCAGTCCACTAGATACATTTTGCTGATGCAAAAAAATGGCTGAAGTGAGATGAACAGACTCTATTAGATAAAGCAGATGTTGACAAAGTTTTCCTTTGGAGACATAATTTAAGGTTGAAAAAGGTAATAAATAGCAATATATTTTATTGCAATACTCAGCGTATTGCAACATATTTAAAATCTTAATAATATTGTATTGTGACTTATGTAGCATGATAATATCATATGGTTATTACCCTACCTAATATTTATATTGGTAGAGCCATAGTCAGTTTGCACTTTAGTTTGTGGAATTCCTTACAATATTGTTACAGACTTGAGACTTGAGTAAGATTCATATTTATTTTGCAATATTACATTATTGTTCACACTGGGCTTCTGGTGCCTTAGGGGAAAACAGGTTGTTGAGATTATATGAAGAAGTTTAATTTGAGTTTAAGTTTATTTACTTTATTAATCCCCTGAGGGGAAATTCAATGTTTTCACTCTTGCTTGTCAATTACACACAGGTCTGAAAGACACACACATTCACAAACAGGACCTATACATGCACAAAGTGGAGAGATGTCAGAGTGAGGGGGCTGCCCTTTGGTCAGGCGCCCCGAGCGGTTGGGGGGTTCGGTGCCTTGCTCAAGGGCACCTCGGCAGTGCCCAGGAGGTGCCCAGCACCTCTCCAGCCACCAGTCCACGCTCCATATTTGGTCCAGACGGGGACTCGAACAGGCGACCCTCCGGTCCCCAACCCAAGTCCCTATGGACTGAGCTACTGCCGCCCCACAACAATGTTCAACATGTTCATGTTATCATTGGGCTTTACGTCATCTAAATATGTTTAGGGAGGCAGAGTCACAGTCAGGTGTTTCGTTTGTTATAATTTGTTACTGAATTGTGGATCAAAAACCTCTGTCCTCAGTCTGGAGGTGGATTCAACAAATATCAACCCTTTATGTAGTCACATTTATCTATTTCGATTCACACTATATATGGATTTAAAAATTCATAGGACAACAGAGTGACAGTAACACGTTGTTTCTTTTATTCCTTACAAATACATTTGCAGGTTTAGCTTACTCAATCAGTGCAAACAAGGGTTGCCTCTTTCGTCTGGCTCAAAGCCAGTGTTGCCATATTATATTGGCGCATTCTTTGATTTCTTCGAGACTAAATTGTCCGCCATTATTGACTCCCTGTCACTGTTAAACAAACTGCGAAGAGGCAGACACAGGTACTCACAGACTCGGGCATACTATAAGCGGAGCGGACTCCGCGAGGAATGTCCGAAGTCATTCGGGCTTCCATAGTCAAGCGCACTTCCGTGTTGTAGTTTTCTGTAAAAATGTCCATGAAAAATCCCTGCGATGTGAAAAATACATGCTGAGCAGTCTTTTGTGTGACACTGGTGCGCGGAGCAAAGTCCGCGCGGTCGTAAAA